TTAAAATGTTTTCAATTATTTTTCTTAAATTTATTTATGTAATATAAAGGACGTTTTATGCTAAAATTCTGGCATGTAATTTGTTCTTGTGAAAAATAGGTTTGCAGAACCAGGTTTAATTAATTTAGTCCCTGCTACATCAAGGAAGCTTCTACAAGTCATAAGCTCACCAGCTGTCCTTGCCAATACATCTGGAGATTTGGGTATAAGTAGCCTGCATGCAATTTCCACAAAGCTACCCCATAGCAAAGGGCAGAGTTAAGTTCAGTAAAGGAGACTCGCAGGACAGTATTGCCTTCTGGTTATACACAACTTGAATAGACTGAGGGGAGCACAACCAGCTGGTACAAGCTGGAAGAGCAGCTTACATTGCTCAAGTCAGATCTCCCTGGGGCAGAGAAACAGGAACCCAAAGTTGATTGAGAATAAAATACATAAAAAAGGAACCTGTTTGAAACTATCATTCCCAGGTATACAAGCAGGCCATGGGAGAGCAAGCACTACTTTCCCCTTTCTCCTCATTCAGTAGAAATGTGACAGAACTGTTCAAGAAAGCCAGTACAGCATACATTCATGAATGCTTCTGGTTGAAGACTGCTTTACAATTTCTAGATGAATTGGCTATGGAGGCATCATGCCCTCTCTTTGCAATCACCATGACAAAAACAAGCTGCTAGGATTTTAAAATGACCAGTCACTGTGGAAAAATCTCCTAACTACTTCCATCAAGTGCTAAGCTAAAGTAGCTCTACAGTGTTAAGTCACGTACGAAGAAATCAGCATGAACACGTTTGATCTTAAAAGTCAGCATTTCCAAAAAAAAGAAATAATCTTCTTCCAGATTTTTCTTCCAAATATTAACAAGGATGTGTAGTTGAACTAGTTAGGTGTAGCTAAATAATAGTCTATGTCCTATCAGAAACACCTTTTGTCACTTTTCTGGTATATCTTTTTTCCCCCTTTTTTTTCTCCTTTTCCTTAAGGCCCTTCTTTTCAAACTGAAGTGTCAGTTCTGTTCACAGTATGTCCTGAGCAGAATTCAAGAGAGAGGTTATAATATCCAGGTTGTTGCTAATGACATCTATGCTCCATTGCACATACAGCCAAAGCACACAGAGCAGCAGCACTGTGACAAATGTTTAACCTTGTGGATATGTGTAGTAACAAAACACAGCATTATAGAGTGGTTTGGGTTGGAAGGGACCTTAGAGATCATCCAGCTCCAACCCCTTATGGCCATAGGCACTGAAACCTTTCACTTGATCATGTTACTCAGAGCCCATCCAGTCTGGCCTTGAACACTTCCAGGGATGGGACATCCATAAATTCTCTGGACTACTTGTTCCAGTGCCTCACTACCCCCACAACAAAGAATTTCTTCCTAACATCTAATCTAAAACTACTCTCTTTTAGTTTGAAGCCATTCTGCCTTGTTTTGTCACTACATGCTCTTGAAAAAAGCCCCTCTCCTTTTTTCTTATAACATTTCCTTAGATACTGAAAGGATAAGATCACCCTGAAGCCTTCTCTCTTCCAGGCTGAACAACCTCAATTCTAGATGAGCAAAAGCACTGGAAAACCCTCACTCCTCCAGGGTAGAAAAGCTACTTCTTTTAGAATAACAGCACTTCTTGTCTAACAGATCTTAAATTGAGTTTTGAACTCCCTGTGCTTCCAGAGCTAAACCTGACTGAATGGGCCTGTTGGGCCACACCCCAAAGGACCTGTCCAGCATGGGGTGTGCCAAGACTCATGTGTAAGGTAAATGTATTCCCTGGGGAAGGTTTTAGTTCTTCATAGCTACAACCAAAGGAGAAACTAAAAATATTTTGAACTCATCTTTACCTATTATTGACAAGAATTAGTAGAGAGTAAGTAATTATTCATAATGCAGGCTCTTAAAGCTTTTCTGAAACATGATTATGTGTGATCACAGGAATCATTGGCTTTAAAATAACTGGAGTAATAACCCATTTTCAAATGGGAGAGAGCTTAGTGCATAGTTCAGTTCCAGAATGCATATCTCTATTTAGTTTGATGCTTTTAAATTACACCTTTAGACTCTTCCAGTCTTACAGGCCGTTTTGTCTCTTATTGAGAAGAATATGCTGTCTAGGAAAAAGAGAAGAGTTATTGTGTAGATTTTGATTTAAAAAAAATGTTAGAAGTTTTACTGAGATTGATCTCTGATAAAAAGCGTTTCAAAATTGCAAAAATCTCTGGAGGCTTTGAAGTGATTAAATAAAAACNGTAATGGTTACTGAAAGAAATATCAAGAGGCCAAACCAAATTATATTAAAAATACTCATTTTTTTTTCCAAATCAAGATACAGAAAATAAAGAAAAACATGCAAAATAAAAAGTGTGATATTAAAATGAAAGTGCGACAATAATATTCTATCATGAGAAGCCTGTTTGTCCACTTTCACAGATATACTATAATCAATCAATCAATCAATCAGGAAATCATTACTTTGAATTCTTAATTGCTACACTGAACATCAGGAGAGAGAAAAAAAAGGTGAAAAGACTAAGATGAATCTGAGGTTAAGATTATAAAGGAAATTATTTTTGAGAAGCATGATGGCAATTTTCAATAAATGTAGCTCTAAAACCCAAAAGAAAAATCTAAACTAGGAATGCTACAATATGAATTAACTTGAAAATAGAACAAATATGATGAGGTGGCTTCTGAGTTAAAAGTTATTCCAAAAAAATTGCCACATATTCTTTTATTGATGGCACAGCAGTGCTTCTATTAAGTATGTTGCAGGGAATTATATAAGAAAGACAAAACCTCTTGAATATTTAGTGGCAGAGGACAAGTATTATTGCAAGTTTTACACAGAAAACCTAGTCTTGGATCTTCTAGCATGCAAGTACAGCTTAAAATTTCTATAAAAAGTAACAGCATATATGAATTTAAAAGAGGAAGCTGAACCTCCCCTGACTCCTCATGCAACAAAGGTACAGCGCATTAAAACTGACAGCAGTGTAGTTTTTGCAAATTGGATCTTCATTAGTATAGACCAATTCAGTCCATCTGCATGAGGTGGTTCACAGGTCAGAAAAGGGCTAATATATAACTAACTAGGTGGTTCACAGGTCAGAAAAGGAATATTACAATTTGGATTAGGTGAATTATAATTGTGGTTCTCCTTTTTCAAGTCAAAAATCATTACTTTTGGGTCATGTGAGAAGAAGTTATCTTTAAACTGTGATATGTAATTTTGCTATAAAAAGTCACTAGCAATCTGTATTTGAATGTTGCCCATCTCTGCACTGTCATCTGACAGTAAATACACAAGGAAAAGAAATATGTTAAGAAAGAATAATGTGTCTGAGGTACAATTTTTTTCTTGTTTGTATCTCATAAGTACTTCACTCAATATACTCTCATTCCTGGCATTACAAGGACAACTTAATTCCTGTAAGGCTCTCTTGTGTTATTCAGTAACAAAGAAAGGTAGTATGTAAGCCAGTAAGAATATCTAAACAGCTGGATTTTGTCCCTGATCCACAGATTATTTTTCCTTGGCTGTCTGTGAACTTCAGTGAACAAATATGTATCACATTGTCATAATAACTCAAAGCTTGTATTTCACGTGACCTCTTCTGAAGGCTGGATTGCAAAATGTTTGGGAACAGCAAAAGCACTTACATAAAAGAATAATAACTTGAGAGCTGCAGAAGGTCATAAAATTTCTTCAATTATATCATTATTTCATATCAGCCTAATTTGTTAATGTAGCAAAAGATGATCACCAAGGCAGTTGTTCTCACCTGTATCCGCTCAACTTCTAAAAAAGTTGCTGTTTGGAAGGCTTTTTCCCATAGTGTTAGGTCAGACTCTAGTTCCACAGAAAAGTAAAGATCTTCTCCAGATTCAGACTGGACACTGAAGCAATGTTTCCGACGGTCCAGCAGATCACTGTCCTGATGAAAACCTGAAGTTATATAATCTGGCATACATCAATTAATATTTTTAATTGCAAACATTTATGCCTCAAACCCAGCATTTTTAAGTGGCATCTTAAATAACATGAGTAACCACAGTCACTGAGGAACTGAAAATCAGGGGTTTGATCTAGACAATGACATTTCAATGAATTTTAAATTGATGCCTATATTCAGAATGGCAGCTTTTATATTAGATACATTCTATGAAAGTTTTTCACTTTCTATTCACATGAGGAACACAAATATCAGCTTCTCTGACCTATTTGACTTACACACCCTACTCTTGAAGGTTGGTTAAAGGAATATATTTATTTTAAGTATGAAAAGTCCGTATGTTCTATTTTCTTATAGAGGCTAGAGAAAACAAGTTCATACTTCTGGTGACTTACAAAATTCAACATACAATTAGTCTTTAAATGGATTCTGATGGTAGAGACTATAGTGGCTGCCCATGGCTAGGCTGCTGGCTTTGGTCCTGAAGGAGAAAATTACTTTTGGCTTTACTTTCAACATAACATCACACAATGGATATCAGGTCATAAATATTAAAAAACTAAAGATTGATGGCGTTTTTAATTGGTACTAAACCAAAGAATAAACAAGTTAATCAGGAAAACAATTCATTAAAATGTTTTCAATTATTTTTCTTAAATTTATTTATGTATTATAAAGGACGTTTTATGCTAAAATTCTGGCATGTAATTTGTTCTTGTGAAAAATAGGTTTGCAGAACCAGGTTTAATTAATTTAGTCCCTGCTACATCAAGGAAGCTTCTACAAGTCATAAGCTCACCAGCTGTCCTTGCCAATACATCTGGAGATTTGGGTATAAGTAGCCTGCATGCAATTTCCACAAAGCTACCCCATAGCAAAGGGCAGTTAAGTTCAGTAAAGGAGACTCGTAGGACAGTATTGCCTTCTGCTTATACACAACTTGAATAGACTGAGGGGAGCACAACCAGCTGGTACAAGCTGGAAGAGCAGCTTACATTGCTCAAGTCAGATCTCCCTGGGGCAGAGAAACAGGAACCCAAAGCTGATTGAGAATAAAATACATAAAAAAGGAACCTGTTTGAAACTATCATTCCCAGGTATACAAGCAGGCCATGGGAGAGCAAGCACTACTTTTCTTTTTCTCCTCATTCAGTAGAAATGTGACAGAACTGTTCAAGAAAGCCAGTACAGCATACATTCATGAATGCTTCTGGTTGAAGACTGCTTTACAATTTCTAGATGAATTGGCTATGGAGGCATCATGCCCTCTCTTTGCAATCACCATGACAAAAACAAGCTGCTAGGATTTTAAAATGACCAGTCACTGTGGAAAAATCTCCTAACTACTTCCATCAAGTGCTAAGCTAAAGTAGCTCTACAGTGTTAAGTCACGTACGAAGAAATCAGCATGAACATGTTTGATCTTAAAAGTCAGCATTTCCAAAAAAAAGAAATAATCTTCTAATCTTCTAATCTTTATTTCTTCTAATCTTTATTTCTTCTAATATTTTCTTCCAAATATTAACAAGGATGTGTAGTTGAACTAGTTAGGTGTAGCTAAATCATAGTCTATGTCCTATCAGAAACATCTTTTGTCACTTTTCTGGTATATCTTTTTTCCCCCTTTTTTTTCTCCTTTTCCTTAAGGCCCTTCTTTTCAAACTGAAGTGTCAGTTCTGTTCACAGTATGTCCTGAGCAGAATTCAAGAGAGAGGTTATAATATCCAGGTTGTTGCTAATGACATCTATGCTCCATTGCACATACAGCCAAAGCACACAGAGCAGCAGCACTGTGACAAATGTTTAACCTTGTGGATATGTGTAGTAACAAAACACAGCATTATAGAGTGGTTTGGGTTGGAAGGGACCTTAGAGATCATCCAGCTCCAACCCCTTATGGCCATAGGCACTGAAACCTTTCACTTGATCAGGTTACTCAGAGCCCATCCAGTCTGGCCTTGAACACTTCCAGGGATGGGACATCCATAAATTCTCTGGACTACTTGTTCCAGTGCCTCACTACCCCCACAACAAAGAATTTCTTCCTAACATCTAATCTAAAACTACTCTCTTTTAGTTTGAAGCCATTCTGCCTTGTTTTGTCACTACATGCTCTTGAAAAAAGCCCCTCTCCTTTTTTCTTATAACATTTCCTTAGATACTGAAAGGATAAGATCACCCTGAAGCCTTCTCTCTTCCAGGCTGAACAACCTCAATTCTAGATGAGCAAAAGCACTGGAAAACCCTCACTCCTCCAGGGTAGAAAAGCTACTTCTTTTAGAATAACAGCACTTCTTGTCTAACAGATCTTAAATTGAGTTTTGAACTCCCTGTGTTTCCAGAGCTAAACCTGACTGAATGGGCCTGTTGGGCCACACCCCAAAGGACGTGTCCAGCATGGGGTGTGCCAAGACTCATGTGTAAGGTACATGTATTTCCTGGGGAAGGTTTTAGTTCTTCATAGCTACAACCAAAGGAGAAACTAAAAATATTTTGAACTCATCTTTACCTATTATTGACAAGAATTAGTAGAGAGTAAGTAATTATTCATAATGCAGGCTCTTAAAGCTTTTCTGAAACATGATTATGTGTGATCACAGGAATCATTGGCTTTAAAATAACTGGAGTAATAACCCATTTTCAAATGGGAGAGAGCTTAGTGCATAGTTCAGTTCCAGAATGCATATCTCTATTTAGTTTGATGCTTTTAAATTACACCTTTAGACTCTTCCAGTCTTACAGGCCGTTTTGTCTCTTATTGAGAAGAATATGCTGTCTAGGAAAAAGAGAAGAGTTATTGTGTAGATTTTGATTTAAAAAAAATGTTAGAAGTTTTACTGAGATTGATCTCTGCTAAAAAGCGTTTCAAAATTGCAAAAATCTCTGGAGGCTTTGAAGTGATTAAATAAAAACCTATGTATTTTATTATCAACATTGCCAGTAATAATTGTACTAGATTTTACTAAGCATTAAAAATAATTATCCATGGTTTTGCTACTTATGTATGAAGATGAGAGCATGCTTTGTATTAGGAAAGACCTAATTAGTACTAGGTAGCATTTCCCCTCAGTGTTTTGCATATAAAAAGTTTAGAATATTTCAACTACTGCATTATATTGTGACAAACAACATGCATAATGGACTCATTCATTATTGGACTTTCTGTGAAGTTCCTATTCAGAATGAAAACAAAATTCAACATTTCCCCAGAAATAATAATTTAGCCAAATAATAATTTAAATTTGTGATTAGCTTTAATGTATACACTTGTGATTTTGATATTAACACCTGTAGTTAGGTCCATGATAAGAGAAGTGTAAGTCAAATACATTTAAATGATGTATTTTAGCTTTTCTAAAATTGCTAACATACATATTCCTTTCCTAATTAGTGGTATTCCATCCTGCTCATAAAAATAGTTATGTGCAAGGTTCCCTTTAGTACTGCTTCTGCAACTTTTTATGCTTTTTCTGCAAGATCTTTAGTTTTACATCTCTTCTCAAGCTTTAAAATCTGTATTCTAGGTTTATAGAATGTAATAATTTGTACAGTAGATTACTAGACAAAACAATATGTAGGTAAAGCTAAAATATAGCTTTCCAAATGTCCTTATAAAGGCAGGAATTTAAAGCGGGTTTTTTGGGGTTTTGTTTTGTTTGTTATTGCTTTGTTTTGTTTAGTTTTGATTTGTTTTGTTTTAGGAATACAATGACATTTGTCCAAAAGTCCAAAAATTTAAAAAAACCCCAACTTGTCAGGAGTCTGAAAACCAGATCTGGATGAAGCAGGAATCTTCCTTAATTAATTTTTATCAAACTACTACTTCAACTAAAATATAAATGTTATTCTACTCATTTAAGAATCTGCTATGACCCTGTATTATTTACTACTCATTTACTAGTCAGTGATGGACATGAGCCAATTTCATGTTGATTTTTTAAGCACTCTTTTATACTGATAATGATTAGTTGTACTGTTTGCCCTGATGTTCTTGTTGTGATTTATTAAAACTCTCTGAAGAGAAACACACACAAAACTTTTAGCAGTTTGCTAATTCTCACTAGAGGGAATGTGGTCCTGCTGAAAGATGGGCTGTGACAAAAGACATTGGCTAACTCCCAGCTTCAGGGTAATCCAGCATCTCTGCTGACAGGACAGTATGACTCCTGCTTGCCTAATTAATAATGATATCCATGTTAAGTGAGAGTAATAAATTTGTCCATGGGAACTAAGCATGGCTCATTAGGCAGGTCCTTCCAAATCAAGGCAGAATGCTTCTTTATCACTAAATAGTGACTTTGCCTTCTCTTCTGCAGGGGTAATCTCTTCTCTTTTGAAAGACTGCTCTTTCCAGAAGCAGCACTACTTCTTTTTTATTACTTGTGTTGTTTCATTTTAAGTATGATGAGTACATTGAATAATCATATTTTGGCTATTATTTAAATCTGCTAAATTGCAAGAGGCCCTCACCTCTTGTGAGGGTCAATGGGAGCTGAGTTCTTTTATTCTACAAAGCTCTCTGCAACAGAAAAAAAAACCATATTTACCACCTTCATCCTCATGGCATGATTTTCACCCAGGAGGTGCTCAAGAATTTTCTGAAAGTCTGATTTACCTATGAATTTAAATGTAATATATAGAGCAGCCTATATATTTTGCCATGGAAATGTAAATAAATGCTAGTGACACTGTCGAGCAGTTTTTGACATGAACAACAATTCATGTAAGATGTTCAAAACCATCCTACACTGACAAAATAGACCTTAACTTTCAAGAAAATTCTATTTCAGCTATTAAAATGAGGTAAGTATTCACATCTCTCACATTAATTATAACAGTTCTTCAAAATACGTGACTGAGAAAACAAGCAAAACCTGTTTTCTTTGTTGAATAGTTTAGGCAGTTCTGCCAAAAGGAATCTGTCCTATCATAAACAAGATTCAAACCTAGCACCTAAATTCTCTGAAGATAAAAAGCATTTT